TTTTCCAATAGTGAGTGGTAACTGGCTATGCTTGCTAAGACGGGAGTCCCATCAGCGGTTGCTTATCTACATTCGTTTCGTACTCATCTCAATATTGTATTTCACAATCCCACAATACCTTTTCTGGATACTTGCTTCCTACTTACGAGGTCTGATACGTAACTCGAGACTTGCTCTCTTTGGGTCTACACTACGACGGTTGGATGGTTTGGTTCGAAAAATTGGTATCATTGAGGGCACGATTCAGAAAAAAAATAAGAAAAGAAACAAATTCTCATCGGTCACAAAGGAATAAAAATTTACTGGCCCTATTCGTAAGATAAGTGTTAGTCATGTTCATTGTGATACTGTAAAGACCATGAAGCCCAGATTCCAGCAAGTCCGTGATACTAGCGTACAGGTCTTAAATGCCAAGCCACGAGCCCCAGATACTATGTTTTAGATGTCAACCTAAGGCCCAGATGCAAACCCACAAGACTCAGATGCCAGCTCATAAGTAATCAGCAACTACGCCATAGGCAATAGGAGCCAACTAACCCATAAGCATCAGAGGCTTAGCCATAAGTAATCAGAGGCTAAGCCACGGGCAATAGGAGCCATTCAACCCACAAGCATCAGAGGCTTAGCCATAAGTAATCAGAAGCTAAGCCATAAGCAATAGGAGCCAGCCAACCCACAAGTATCAGAAGCAAGAGAATGGGAGAAAGGGGGAAATGGGTAAGAGGATGGAACTTACGGCACGTTGAAGGGGGATACAGGGGCGGGGGGCCACCCGGCCAAACAGGGAGGCATCGGCCGGGCGGGGGGGAGTGGCAGCACGGGCGGGGGTCACCACAGGACCGGCGGGCGGCGCGTCACCGGCAGCAGGGGGCTCGGGGGCAGGGGGCTCGGGGGCTGCGGGGCCCTTCTGGGGGGTTTTGGGCGCAGGGCTCCCTTTCAAAGCAGCACGAAGCTGTTCGAGTAACACAGTTTAGTATATAAGTCACGGTAAGGGAGGGGAGTATCTTACCTGCTCTTTCTTCTCTGCCACTACCAGATGAGCAATCGCAGCGTTGGCACGGGCCGCGTCCATCTCGGCAGCCCGGAGCTCCCGCTTGAGCTGCGCGATCCGGGCCGCCTTGTGCTCGGGCCCTTCGGCCTGCTGGGCGGCGCGGACAGCACGCTGTAAAACAGTTTAATACCTCTTCTCTCCTTTGCAACGAACGTCAATGACTCACTTTATTGGCTTTTTGGCGCTGACGCCGCTGCTTACGCTTACGCTGCTTGTTGGTTTCATCCATGGTTTAAAAGTAGAAAAAGAAGTGAAATTTGAGGGAAAACAAAGGTAAGTTTGCTTAGAGTGATTACTGTTTACTTTATGTGTCATAAACAGGGAAATCAACAATGCCTTCCTAAATAGGCAACCGCGTCCCTGTCTCTAAGACTCACTAATGCTGGCCAACATCACAATAGGCAACAATAGGATGACACGAAAAGCAGTGATCTAATGCTCATTGTGGAATTCGATGCAAGTCATCATCAATTAAGCGAATTGCGAGATCCTGGTATAATCTAGTGAATTGCTTTTTTAATTTGTTGAAACTGTGTTGAATGCAAGTCGAAAGCTAGGAAAGGCACTTATACATTGTTCATACATTCACATTCATGCTAATCATACAAGTTTAATCAAAGACATAGTAGAACCACCTTCCAGGATATCATGCAGCTCCATATGTACATCACCGTTCCATCCTGGCTCATAAACCTGCAATTGAAAAGGCAACCGGTAACCCTCCAAAGCGAGAGAGAATACAATGACTGATTATAACTCGGACGCAGCAGCGAATGTCAATGCCTGCAGCTGGAGCTTCCGGTTACGTCGAAGCAGAGCTGCGAACTTCTTATCCAGCGAGTCCAGTTCCTTCCGAGTCAGCTCCAGGTCCTTCTGGGAACGACCAGAGAGGTCCCTCAGCTCTTCATTGGTGAGCCCGGCAACATCGTCCAGGGTCGGGTTGGCACCGAGCATGCCTGGGTTGTTGAGCATGTGCTGAGCAGTGATCGCTGCGAAGGAGCGCACAGCTGCGGGAGTAGTATTGAGGAGTTCTGCCGAATTGGCGACGGCCCAGTCGTGGTTGCGGGTGCTGTCAGCCTCCATGGCAGAGAGCACGTTGGGTGGAATCACAGAGTCGGGCACGCCGAGAGAAGATGCTGGGGATGTCGCGCCGAGACGGGTGGGCATGTCTTCAACCCAGCAGATGTTAAACTTCTCTGGGTTGGCGAAGAGTGCTTCCAGACCGCCACTGGGGTTGCTGGAATCATCTCCAATCATGAAGGGATCAGAGGTGATAGCCATATTCTTCTCTAGCTCAAGGTACCGCTCCTCTTCCTCTGGCTCAAGGTGGCGAAGCACACAGCCGCGAGGTGTGATGAGGCATCGGCTCTTCAGGCGCTCGTCACCAAGTCGAACGGGTTCTCCACGAAGCAGGGCTTTGCGGTGTTCCTCGTTCAATTCAGTGGGACACTGGAGAATATCATAGTCGTCTGCGACACACTTCATGTCGGTGCGCTGGCTGAGATTGGTAGGGTTGAAAAGGGAACTCTTGTAGAGGTCCAGCTCACCGGACTTGTGCATCTCAGCAAGTAACTCGTGGAGAGGCTTAGTCCGTTCCACAAACAGGTCCTTTATGGATCTTCCACTAGCCTCGGAATCCTTGACCAACTGCTCGACTGTATTGTGGGTACGCCAGGGCTCCACCGGGGCTTCCTTCTGACGAGGTGGCTCTTCAACAGCAGGTGGAGGAGGGGACGGAGGAGGGGGAGGAGTTGGTTCCTTGATAGGCTTCTCCTTGGCCTTCACTTTCTTTGGAACCTCTACCACGGGCTCCGGCTTGACCGGCGAGCTGATTGCTGCCTTGGCAGGGCTCATTGTCTCGGTGCCACTGGCAGCAGCACTATCAGTCGTGTCCACATTGGTTTTTGGTTCCTTCTTGGTCTTGCGCTTTCGCCCCATGATAGGAGCTTGGACAGGTTCTTCGGGTGCAGGTGCGGCTTCAACCTTTTTGGCCTCCGCCTCCTTAGCTTTCTGCTTTCTCTCCTTCTTGACTTGGCTCTTCGTCATGGACCGAACTGGGGCAGAGCCGATGCGGGAGGACGCAGGAGGAGAATTCGCGCGGGAAGCAGAGGTCGAGGGATAGTAATCGGCTTCCCAACTGTGATCAGCAGGAGTGTCAGGTCGGCTGTTAGATGAAAGGCTCTGGCGCCGAGAGCGTGACTTGCTTCCCCCAATGACAGAGGTAGTCACGGAGGGAGAATCGAGAACAGGAGGGGGGGTTTCGGTCTTTGTTGATTCCACCACACGCAGAATACGGGGCTGACGGGGAACGGGAGAATCAGACATCCGAGATGCGATGGTCTGAGGTGTGTGAGGCCGCGACCCGATCGCAGAAACAGAACCAGGAGCAGCAACTTGTTCAGACTTGGTAGTGGTGGCTAATGGTGTGCTGAAACCAATGGGGCTGCCTTTCGTGACTGCAGAACTTGGCTCCGACTGGTTTGGGGCTTTGATAGCCGAATCTTTGGCATCGGCAGCAGCAGCAGCCAAATCAATCTTGCGCTGGGCACGAGCCTTGCTTGCGGGCTTCTGTACTGGCGACCCAAAGGAAATCTGGGATGCATCCTTCACACGGCTAGATGTCAACGGGCCTCCCACGGTGAGTTCTGGACTCAACCGCTGGGAAGGGGTTTCATCGCGGTCTTGATTCGGTGTACCGAGTCGTGAGATGCTAGCACCTAGGCCAGGCGGCAGTATTGGAGCAGGCGAGGACGGCTTTGAGGAACTGAGCTGTTCCTGAAAAGCAGAAGTCGAGGGGTGAGCGTGGGGCAACGGCAAGCCTGGGGGTAGAGTCGGGGTTCCAGCTCTAGCGGTAGACTCGTTGGGCAACTGAGATTTCAAAAAGCCAAAACTGTCAACGGGTCGACGATCTTTGGATTGTTCGCCGAGTGGGGGAAAATCCTCATTGACTAGAAAGAACAGCGATCAGCGGTTGTGCAAAGACGTGACAAGGTGATAGAGATGGGCAGATGATGCGGAAGGAAAGTGAAAGCAGACAAAACGAATCCCAGGAGAAAAGCGTAACGACTAAGCAGCAAGACTAAAAATGATACAAACGGGGCACACCAAATAATTACATGATGGGCTGCGACTCCCGAGGCGAAGAACGTTGCAGGGGAGGTCGTCTATGTAAACGGCGGCTGTGTGGAAACTGATTTCGAATAAGACCCTGTTTCGGCTTGTGGTATCAGAGTAGGGACATCTTAACGTACATTAATTCATGTAAACATTCCACGGTCGTCAAGACGCAGTAGATAGTATCATGAAATCCGGATGCAAAGAACAAAAAAGGGAAAACACAGCCGCCGAATACAAAGGGAGACCAGACATGCCGTATGTCCATTAAATGCAAAGACTCCTTGAAATAAGGAAAGAGCGGGAATAACATGCAGTAAAAGAGACAGCCAGGGAAAAGCAACAGTCAAAGAGTCCATAGTACGCCAGAAACACGCCCGGCCATCGCAGAAATCGGAGCAGCCAGTTTGATCGGAAATAGAGAAACATCAAGATGCAAGGTCCGGCTCTTTGGGAAAGAGGAAAGAAAAGGGTGATAAAATCATGTCATAAGAATAAAACAATCCCGTCAAGGGAACAAAGTCATGACTGAAAGAGCAAGTAGGGAAATGTATGGGACCACGGGGATGAGAGAAGATGTTTCACCAGCGACTGATGCCACCGCCATACACCATCGAGGGGTTGTACCCACCTTGACCTTGACTCCCATATAACGCTTGCCCGGCTGTAGCATTCGCACCGACCTGATGCATTCTCGCTTGCAAAATGCTCGGGTCCGCAAGATCTACTACACCACCTCCACCGGAGGAAGTGTTAGCGTGTCTGTGCTTCTTTCCCTTTTTCTTCTGCTTCTGTGGGCCACCAGATTCAGGCATGCCTGGCTGGGACCCATAGAACGAGCCGAGAAGGCCATTGGGAGTCATGGGAGGTGGGGTATTGTGCTGTTGAAGGAAAGGAATCATGAACTCACGCTTAGCTGCCTCCTGGCCCTGTAAACCACCGACATTTGTACCATTTCGTCCGCGCAGTAACTCGCGCATCAACTCCGGGGTTGCATCTTGCTTGCCGACATTGGACCCAAGCCCTGAGGTGAAACCGTGACCTTGGGCAAACATTCCACCGCCGCTGATGGGAGGGGTACCGGCCGTCTTCAACCCGGGAGGAGGACCCTGGACACCACTCGCATAGAAACCACTCGCGAGGCTGTGTTGAGGGCTCGGGGCCGACAGCGGGTTGGGGCTTGCGGACTGCATCTGGCTCAACATGCGTGCATTGGGAATGTTCTTCGAACCAGCTTCATTGAAAGAGAATCGGGAAGACTGTCGGTTCTGTGCTGCCTGCAGCGCATTGAATTGGGCCATCTGGTTCTGCAGAAGTCCCTGGCGGACTTGAGCAGCTTGATCCAGAGCAGCGGAGCTCAAAGGGTCAGCCAAACCGGCTTGTTGGTTGCCAGCGGATTTAAGTAACATCAATTGCTGTTGCTGGAGGGGTGTTAAGCTTCGCCCAGCAAGGTTCAGGCCTTGGAATTGGTGGCTGGTCGCAGATACAGGAGATCCGACGGTCGAGTTGTCTGCGGTGCCCTGTTGCGAAGGTGGTTGAATAGCACCATGTGACTCTCGGGTCTGGCGGCCACGCGGAGGGTTGGCATCCTCCGGTTCACCGCCAAGCTGAAGGCTGCCAGCTTCACGACTGTCCTCCTCAGCTGCAACAGATTGGAGCAGCTCTTGCTCCCGGTTAAGACGCTCCTGTTCGACTTTCTCACGCATAGCTCTGCGCTTGACGCCACCGTACGGATCGATAAAAGACGGATAGTTCTCGATCAACTTGACCTCTTCTTCGGACAGTTCGGCTGTAGAGAAAGAGAATCTGAAGTGCGGGGATGTAATATCCTTCAACAAATTATCAAATGGTGTTGGTTGCTTCGGAGGCTTGTTGGTTCCACGTGGACGTGGCTCCGCGGAAGGGGATTGGGGATCGTTTGGTAAAGTTGGTTGCTGAGGTTCCTGAGAAATTGGAGATGGCTTCTCGGATCGCTTTGGCTCTTCGACTGGGGTGGCAATATTAACGTTTGAAGGCCGCGGGCTGTTAGATGCTTGACTGCCCGTGAGACTAGTCCTCCTGGTCCGGTGAATTGCAACATCCTTATTGGCCCAACTAGCAGATGATGGTAGAGCCGGGCCATCTGGGATGCCCGAGCGACCACTGACTGAGTCATCCTTGCTTGGTTGTCTGCGCATCGGAAGAGAGATAGGTTGAGCGGACCTCACATGTGCGGGAACGCTCGAGGGGGTAGGAGGAAGGTTTTGGCGTTGGGTAGAGATTGTGTTCATAGAGGAAAGATCCTGGCGACTGTAGCTGTCGCTGTCCTCGCCGGTCTCGTGCAAGAAAGTGCAGTTTCGGTTGTTGCACTGTTCGTTTCGAAGGAAAGACGAACAGTATTTGGTCGTGCCGTATTGCGCTCTGAGCACTCGATCGCCATTTCCGGATCCATCCACGGCGTTAATGCATGTCGCAGCATCGGCCTTGCGAGAGAAAGTCACATAGACACCAATGCCCTGGTTCGGGTTGCCGCCGGGCTTCGCCTTGCTGACCACAATCTTTTCGATTTCGCCATATTGACCAAAGTATTCGCGCCCACGAAGCGTTTGGAGAAGCTGATTTTCGTCCCGGATCGTAGGATTGAGACCGATAACGTAGACCAAGTTCTTTTGGACAACACGGACACCGGCTAAATTCTTGCGACTGGAAGCTTCGATTTCGCGTTTTTCGGCTTCCTTCTTCTTTGCTGCAGCTGCCTTGCGATGCTTTAACGCCAAATCCGCCTTGAACCTAGAGAGAAGAAAATCCGGTTAGTTGGGTGAGGCGGGGCGGTGTCGTTGGGCACGAAAAGACTCACTCTTCGGCGTCGGGAATCTTGTACTGGATAGTACTTTCATCATATCCGCGTCGACAGTTGGGGCATCGACCCTCTTCGCTGTGGGTTTTGATGTTGTTGTAGCAGAATTGGCAAATCTAATATCACTCACATGTTAGGGCTGCGAGGTCAAGGTGGATGAAGAGACGGTGGTCCCGTTTCCCCAATACGTGGATTGCAACGCGTGAACGATGGCGAAAGACATACCTGGTACCCACAAGGGCATGGCTTAAAGTTCTTATCGGAAAGATCGAACTCTTCAATGCAAAGGGGGCTGTGGGTTGATCAGTACTCGAATCGCGCGTTGTGAACAAGGCTCACCACATACCAGAACTCATCGTCATCGTCGATGACGGAGTCGATCAATGAATGGCTCGACATTATCGCGGGGGATGTGTGATAACCGGAGAGGGACACGAGATCTCAAACGCCGAACGGATGAGAAACGAGGGAAAAAACGCCCCCGAAACTAAAACAAGAGAAACGGCAATTAGAGGAAGTGGAGGGGCGATAGTAAGAGAGGACGGAAAAAAAGGAGGAGTTTGATTGATATGTAGAGGATGAACGGGAAAGAAGAAAGGAAGGAAATTGAAGCGCGGCTTCATTTTGCTGGCATTACCCGATGGCGTTTAGCGTGGTTAGATCAGCTTCACGTGACTGAAGGAGTCGACCACTCTAGTTTCTCGCAATCCGACTTACGTCCCCTCCTCCCGTTGCATCTGCCATTGCTCGCTCTACACAATGGCCTCCGCACGCTCCTTGATGCGCCTGGGTTCTGGACGCTCCGTGGCACCTGCCACGAGGTCCATGGCCGCCCGCACCTTTTCCTCAGCCTCCCTGCAGTATGCTCCTAAGGCTTCGACAACACCGGGACCGGAACCTGAAAACATGCGCCAGGCGCAGCGCCCGCGTACGTGAACTGGACATGTCAATCCTATAATGTCAATTGAGCTAACCGAAGCGTGTTCTATCAGCCCAGGGCCCCCTGCGTGCGCCCGTCGTCAACCCTACCGACAAGTACCAGCCCATGGCCGATGGCCTGCACAAGTACGGACAATACATCATGTCCTGCTTGCCCAAATACATCCAGCAATTCACCGTCTGGAAGGACGAGCTCACCGTCTACACTGCCCCCGCCGGTGTCGTCCCCGTGATGAGCTTCCTGAAGAACCACACCTCCGCCGAGTTCACCCAGATCTCCGATATCACCGCTGTCGACTTCCCAACCCGTGACCAGCGCTTCGAGGTCGTCTACAACCTACTGAGTGTCCGTTACAACTCTCGTATCCGCGTCAAGACCTACGCCGACGAGGCCACCCCCGTGCCCAGTGTCACTGGTCTGTTCGAGGGTGCTTTGTGGTACGAGCGTGAAGTGTACGACATGTTCGGTGTCTTCTTCAGCGGCCACCCCGATTTGCGCCGTATCATGACCGACTACGGTTTCGACGGTCACCCTCTGCGCAAGGACTTCCCCTTGACCGGTTATACTGAGCTGCGCTACGACGAGGAGAAGAAGCGTATCGTTATTGAGCCCCTTGAGCTCACCCAGGCCTTCCGTAACTTTGAGAGCGGCTCTACCGCCTGGGAGCCCGTTGGTGCTGGCCAGAACCGCACTCCCGAGTCTGTAAGTTTTGTCCTTTGAGATGTTGCTGAGCAAGTCCTAATCTATACAACCACAGTTCAAGCTCCCCACTCCCAAGCCCGAGGAGAAGGAAGAAGAAAAGAAATAGAAGAGGGCTGTATGCGTATCATTTTCCTTGCCATGTCTGTATGTACATATCCGTCTGTTTAATCGATGGTCTTTTTGTCCAAGCAAAAAAGAGAGTACGTAATACAACATGTAACGTAGTAGAGTCATACAAGACTATGAAAATAGTCCGAGTGTACTACAGTAAATCATTCGATCAAATACAAAACCCAGCCCAACAATAGTTGGTCCATTCAAATATGATCGATTTCGCGATGTTCATTGGAGTTGTCTTGGCGCGGGCTCCGCCTAAGAAAAAAAAATTAAGCTACGGCAACATCGAACGACCTAGCGATCCGCGACCCTCGAACAGCCTTCGATTTTCCACCGCTCTAATCTCCTCTAATTTTCCTTCGCACCACCTTCTACCCATACTCTCTCACAACCACTCAACATGCCGAAACGCAAGCTCGCCGAGCTCAACGGCCCCGCGCGGTCGAGCGACACCCGCAAAATGTCGATCCACGGCACCCGCTTGACGCAAATGTTCGAGAACGGAGTGCAGGTCCTGATTCGAGCGCTGAAGACGTCGCGCGGATTTGAGCGACAGAAGCTCAGCCGGCGAGAGAAAACTGCGAAGTCGCAGAAGGACATGAAGACATTGGCGCGGTTGGCGGAGGAGATTGAGGCTTTGAAGGTATGGTCTTATTCGCACGAGCTCTAAAAATGGTGCTTGATACTCCGTCAAGACCTTGATAACTAACAATGTCGTCTCATTTGAACAGACACTGAACTACCACACCGTTTCCGAAAAATACCTGTTCAAACAACTTATCAAGACCAAGCGCATTGCAGAGACGCGGACATTTGGCGAGTTCCAGGAAGTCAAGAAAGTGTCACTGGATGGACCGAAGAATACCGCGGAGGCCAATATCCTCGCGCGCCTATTCAAATCTACGCCCGTCCAGAAGGAGATGCCGGGCCTTATGGCCGGTATTCGGAAACTGCTGAGAGTGGACGATGCGCCAGCTGGGAAGGAGGGCAAGCAGGATGGCAAGAAGGAGGCCGCGCCGAAAAAGGCGCGAACAGATGACATATCGGACTCGGAATCTGAAGGAGCGACGTTAAAACCTCGGCGCGGCGAGCAGGACTCCCGTGACCTCGAGATCTCTGATGGAGATGACTCTGGAAGCGAGGATCTTTCACAATTTAACTCGCGACTTGCTCCTGGTTCGGACTCTGAGGATGAGGCCGATGAGGAATCCGGTGACAACGATGATGACGATGATGACGAAGAAGAAGAGGATTCCAACGTAGATGATATCTCCAACTCTATCTCCCGGTCTCCATCACCGGACTTCTCAGCAGATGGTTCTCCACCGCCCAAGAAAACAAAGGCAGCCAAGGGCTCGACTGCACCGGTGAAGGATACAACGTTCCTTCCATCTCTAATGATGGGCGGCTACTGGTCCGGTTCAGAAGAAGCCACGGACGACGAGGAAACATCTGGGAAGAAGCCCCAGCGCAAGAACCGTATGGGCCAGCAGGCGCGTCGGGCGTTGTGGGAGAAGAAGTTCGGCGCGGCAGCCAACCACGTCAAGAATGAACAGATGGCTCAGAAGTATGGTGGCCGAGACAATGGCTGGGATACCAAGCGGGGAGCTACTGATGGTGTGAGAGGAGGAAGAGGTGGTCGACGTGGTGGATTTGGTGGTGGCTCAGGACGGTCTCAGGATCGGCATGATGGGCATGCTCCTGCAGGCAGGCCTAAGCCTGCGCCGAAGAAGGACGAAGGTCCATTACATCCTTCTTGGGAGGCAAAGCGGAAGGCCAAGGAACAGGCTACTACCGCTGCGTTCGCAGGAAAGAAGGTTACGTTCGATTAGGACGGTTAATTTGTACATTTATGAATGACTTGAAGTATTGGCATAAGGAATTGAACAGATACCGGGTGCCCCTTCTAAAGTATTGCTTCTTTCCTCTTGTTAAGCCTAACAAGGAACGTTACGTTCTGAATTTACTGGATCGGAAATAATCAGCATTCGATTCCTTATATATATCTCGCCAGACATCAGATTTAACAAGGAAGAAAGCATTAGCAGTCGCAAAATGGTATAAACAGTAAATCAGAATCCAAAGACAAAGTCCAACCCGACGCAAATCAAGTACAGTAATCAACCTTTCATGAATTGCAACCAGTGCGGATCAGGCTCACCGCTAGGAGTCTTCATCTCAGCACCAGGCATACCATTAGCATTCTGACCATCAGGTTCAAAGCAAGGAATGGCAGTAAACTCGCCGAGCTCCTGCGGGAAGTTGGAAACGAAATGATCAAAGCCAAAGTGCGGCATATGCGAAAGTGACTGCTGCGAAATCGAGAACGTGTCGGAGAGAACACTGCCCGGGACATCATTTTCAATGTCCTGGTCTGGCTGGCCGGGGGTTCTCACGGCGCCGTTGCCGACCATCACCGCTGACGGTGGTGTCATGGATACATTGGAATTGATGGGTGCCGGAATCGTCGGTGTTGCATGGGGGGGTATGCCCTGTGGGACGTTCTGGTCGCTGGAGCCATAAGCCTCCTGTTGCTGCCAGGCGAAGGTAGACGGTGAGATGGGGCCGGCCTTCCAGAGCATTTCCCAGTTTTTGAATCGGTCGTAGGCTGATTCTACACCACCCCCGTTGTTGATGTCAGGGTGCGTCTCGCTCCATGCTTCGAGTCGGCGGATGGCTCGCTCGAGTGCTTCGATCACGCTGACTGCTGAGCGCGCTGAGCCGACGCCCATGGACATAATCTTGATGAGGGATATGCCCTGCTCAAGAGCAGCTCCAAGTCGCTCCGTGCGTTTGGTTAGGCCTTGTGCCAGGATGACCAGCAATGCTGCACGGCACGAACTGAACTCTGTAAATGAGGCTCGTGCGAGACCCTTCTCATCACGGAGTAAGCGGCACAGGTCAATGATCTCCAGAGCCGCTTCCACGCAATCCGTCACAAGGGTTGCACGGTTCTTGGACAGACCGGAAGGTCCCTTGAATGGTGGTGCATGAGAAGGTGTTTGGTAAATACCCTTGATGTTGCTGAAAAGGAACGGCCGCCCGATGAAAACGCGAGTAAGACAGTAATCAAGCTTGAGGTGTACGTTTGACCTAAACAGCGGTCCTGTGGGATTCAAATCGCGGCAGCTGATTTCCTCTGGGAGAGTTGACCACCAATCAACAAGATTTTTCCGGAGATTGAGCAGTCGTTCGAGACAATCCTGTTGTTGGCCTCTGCGGTACTTTCGCAAGGAAGTACTGTTCAATGTGTCAGATCCGTACTTCGATCAAAATATATGAGAGCCTTACATTTCATTTGAGACCTGCCCAAGTTTTAAGGTCAACGTGATCAATGCTACCATGTTCGTATGGTTTGAGATCTGGTTTGCAGGCATGAGACCAGGGAAATCAACCGGGAGTGGGCCATCAACGTCGGGATCTGACAAGGAAGATGGCCTGCCGTGTAGAATGCTTATACGCCTGATAGAACTAGTTAGTATGTACGCAACTTGAGGGTCTGAGGGGTAGCATACTTTTCAATGGTATAAGCTGTCCAGAAGACCCGGTTCCGAACTTCAATCATCCGGGATGATAGACCCTCGCCGTGATATCTTCTATGCATTCCATTTTGAACTGCTAGCTTCAGCGCTAAGCCGAAATATGTGTAGCTTAGCCCAGATGTGTCCAATGGAAGGAGGTATGTTCCAATGAGTACACAAGCCTGTACACTGCGGACGGATGCAGTAGCAATGAGATCTGGGAGGAGCTTCGAGGCGAATTGGTAAAATGTCAGGCCAACTTCATCTTCAGAGAAGTGATGGTCCTGGTTTGCAGTAGACCCCGAGGGCAAACAATTCACAGGCGTGGATGACTCCATATGGGCGAATTGTGTGCCGACCGCAAGCACCATTAGAATAGAGCATACTGCACCCGCATCATCAGATGACAAGCTTTCAGGATCGTTGTAGCAAATAGCCAACTTCTCAAGTAACCAGTCTTCCTCAACGTAGAAATTGTTGGTCTGTGCATACTTGAAGAAGATCTGAACAAGGAAGTCGGCCACATATCGCGGCGGAAGACAGGTAATCGACGACGATATCAAAGGCGACCCAGATTGAAGCTGGGTGCTTCGCCATCGTTCCTCAAATGGCTCGACTTCGGAAGTCGCCTAGGGCATCGGGTTAGCATGGCTGGCTCGGACTCGTCAAAAGACTCGTAAGACCTACTTCTGGTGCCGCTGTCTTCATCCATTCATCAATTTTCTTCCGAATCTTCATTGTGAAGTTCAGATATGAAAATTCTCCAGAATATTCTAACGAATGGGTCAGCACATGAATCTTCTGTGAATATAAGAGCCGACCTACGGGTTGTATTATCAGGCATGGCCTTGATAGTAAAATCCTCTTCATCAATGGCAAGATCCTCCAATTCATTAGGATCAGCCCTAGTAGAAATCGCATCCGATCCGGCATCACGGTGTTTGCTCTTCAAGTCTTCCGCAGCCTGGCGCAAAGACTGGATATCAAACCTGATGTTGGGCATATAATGTGAGAGCAAACGCTCCATAATATGCACCCTTTCTGCTTCGGCGATCTCATTGCGACTCAGTGCGGCCGCCCGATCCAAGAGCCTGCGGTGATATTAGCGGTCTGGACGGCAGAACGGGAAAAGGTCACGAGGCCCGACTTACGAGGCGGAAGTTGACCGACTCTTCTCATTGGGATCGATATGTGTGAAATTGCACTGGCGGCTGTATCGTACGCATCGGCGGCATGGCACACCACCTTCGCATTTCTCTTTCACCCGGCGGCATCCATCGCACCTGCGCACGCCCAGTTTGTTAGCCGCTTCATAGTTCCAAACGGCAATTCGAAAAAGCCAGAAGGTAGGACGAGGACATACGCTCGTACTGCTCGTTTGCGGTTTTCCTCGGCGACACGAGGGCGCTTTTGCGCGGGCGTCGAAGTCGAGTCGTCCATTGCCAATATCAGCGAGACAGCGGTCGGA